TAAAAAAATCTAGTTTGAATTGACACGAATTTAGCTTCAATAGTGTATTAGTCAAGGTTCTCCAGAGAAACAGAACCAATAGAATGTCTGTTTGGAAAAAGAGAGAGAGAGAGATTTATTTTAAGGAATTGGCTCACATGATTATGGAGGCTGGGAAGTCCAAAATCTGCAGGGTAGGTCACTTAAGATTCATTAGGCACTCCCCTAGTTGGTTTAAGTATCTGATTAAAATCCAGAGTTCTACAAAAGTTGAGTTTGTCATTTCTTGCTAGCTTATCGACTGTTTCATTGGAGGGGCTGATTCTTGGAATGTCCACCTCTGCCATTTTCCATGATGTCACTATTTATACATTTTTTTAACTTTTAATTTTGAAATTATTATAGATTCACAGGAAGCTACAAAGATAGCACAGGAATGTCCTGTGTACCTTTCACCCACATCCCCTCAGTAACATCTTACATAATTATAGTACAATATCAAAACCAGGAATTTAACACACATAATGCAGCACAGTGAATTTTAAAAGATAACTTCAAACAAGGCTTAGTCATATAAAATTTCAAAACATCAGGGATAGGGCCCCATGGCTGAGTGGTTAAGTTCACATGCTCCACTTCAGTGGCCCAGGGTTTCGCCAGTTCAGATCCTGGGCGCGGACATGGCAACGTTCATCAAGACATACTGAGGCGGCATCCCACATGCCACAACTAGAAGGACCCACAACTAAAAATATACAACTATGTACTGGGGGGGGAGCTTTGGGGAGAAAAGGGAAAAATAAAATCTTTAAAAAAAAAAATCAGGGATAAAGAAATCCTAAAAGCTTTCAGAGAGAAAAAAGTCACATACAGAGGATCAAGAATTGGAGTGGAAAACAATGGAGCAATGCCTTCAAAATTCTGAGTGAAAGTATTTTTATCTGGAATTATACATCCAGCCAAGATATAAATGAAGCAGGAGAAGAGAAGAGACATTTTCAGATGTGCCAAGTCTTAGAAGCTACTACATATGTGCTTTCCCATTTTGTGATAGGACAGAGAGAGGAAGCAGGGAATCTAGGAGACAAGGGCTCCAGGAGAGGAGAAGGGCCAAGGAAATGCCCAGGAAAGATGACATAGCTGCTCAGCCAGAGGAGAGCCAGTCCTGGCTTCCAGGAAGGGCGGTGCCAGGGAAACCCGAAAGGGGTGTGCTTCCCAAAAGGTCTGACCTTGGACAATGATGTTACTGCAGAGAATGGGTGAAGAGTGTGGAAGGACTCAGCCAGAGACTCCTAAAAAATAAAAGTAAATGGATGAAAAGAGTAAGACAATTATTACCTTCAAAGGAAAAAAAAACAGTTATATGAGAAAGAAAATGTAATTACAGTATATTGCTTGGCTGGGCAATAAACAATAGTTATGTATTTTCAAAATTATGGAAACTCCATGTGCTTTTAACCATAAATTACAATATAGCTATACTGGGGAATTGGGGGAAGGGAAGAAGAAGTAAGAGAGAGAAAATACTAATCTACCACAAGAGGAAGTCAGCAGATGACATCAAAAATTGTTGAATGAAGAAATAGCAGAATATGCTTATTTATTTAGAAATCTAGCAGTAAATGCCAGAAATGGCCAAAAGATCTGAGTCCCATGGGAAGGGTGGAAGCGGGCTTTGCAGACCGGATAAGAGGGATTTTTTTTGCCATAAACCTTTTAACTGTATTTTACCTTAAGCTATGTGCATAACATATTCTGTAAATATATAAATGAATTTAATTTCATTTTGGATTAGAAGTACTATTATCAAAGAAAAAGCAAGAGCTAACAAACAGAATACAGTTCTACCCATCCGTTACGGAAGAGGCCTTCGCTCAAGTTTTTATAATTTGAAACATACTGAAAGAGATTTTACATTTTACTTTTGAAAATGGGAAAGTTAAAACTCCCAAGTGGAAGAACCTCAGAGCTAAGAGACGGCTTAAACTCACAAGCACTCGTGCACTGCCTCCTAACACGGCTCTGGGTGAGCGAGCCTTCCTGTGGCCAGGGCTGAAGGGTGAGAAGTAACACGGGCCTTCAGCCCTGGGGGTCACTGGGCCCAGGTGGGCAGGACAAGGGGGCTGTGGCCCGAGGGCGGAACACTGCTCTGGACCGAGCTGACTGTCTCTGAGCGGAGAGCTCACGGTACTCCAACCGCACGCGTCACTGTGGCTGGCAGACGCCCCTACTCTAGTGCGCAGATCTGCACACACTGATGAGGGGAAGAGAAGGATGCACAGAGACAGCACCTGAGGTGACAGATGGTGGCCAGCTATGTGTGAAGAGACTGGCAGTGAAGACTGCTGATTAAGGGGCACGGGACGGAAACGGATCTGAAAAGAGAGAAGCTGTTTAGTAAGATCCCAAGAGTTGGCAGGACAGATGTGGGAGCTGCAGCTGGGGGGAAACAGACCAGGCACAAGAGCAGCACGAGGACACACCGGCACGGGGTGGGGGTGCTGGGCTGCGGGCGGGGCCGGCTCCCCACCTGCTGGCTCAGCGGCCGGGGGACAGGCAGGGCGTTGCAGCCCTTGCCCTACCACCGAGTCTCTCTCTGCAACGGACGAGCACTCCGCCTGCGCCATGGCCGGGCCTCCTGTGCCGTGAGGTCACGACGGAGGAGCCTGGCGGAGGCCGTGAGCGGCAGGCGGAAGATTCCAGCAGATTCCACACCTCTTCCAGACTGGGCCGGTGAACCATATTCAGGACTCACTTCTTTCTTCCTTCCTTCCTTTCATTCATTTTCTTTCTTTCCTTCTCTTTTTTTCTTTCCTCTTTCATTTTTTTGGGGGGCGATGTATCTGATTAAAGATTGAGGCAGTTTAGCTCTGGTTTATGAGGAAACAGAATGTGACAGAGTCCTCAATTCCAAGTGCCACCATCACACACACCACACTGCCCACACACACTGTGCTCCCCAGGCAGGCGGGCTCCCTACATGTGGTCACCTCAGCAGTGCATCCATGGAGGAAGAGAGACCCAGTGGCAGCTCATGACCTTGGGTTCACGGTGAAGGTCTCTGGCAAACCTAAGCTTCAATGACTTAATCAAAGAAGCCTGAACCAGTCGGCTCTCACTGCTGACTGAGGCACCAAGTGCATACACGCATGCTGCAGACAGACGGACCGACCGTGGGAAGCGGGGCCCAGAGCAGCACAGCGTGGAAAGTTAACAGGGTGAGGAATTTCAAGGCAGGAGTACAAGGATTCCCTAAACACAGGACACAGGATACCCTGCCTTTCCTACGCAGCATGAAGGTGACTGCTAACTAAGTGTCAAATCCGTTTCTACTGGTGGCCCAGGAAACCAAGGAATGTTTGTGAAGCTCAAGACGATGCTAGAAATGGCTTTTGCCACTAAAAGCAAACGGCCAGTGGCAGTCGCACGGCTGGCTGGCAGCGAGCAAGGAGGTGAGCCGCGGTCCCCCTCGCTGCCTCGCTGCCGCAAGGGCACAGGGCGTTCTTGATGAGAACGTGTGCAAATATTCAAACCCTACCCAAAATGAAAAAGGCCTCCCGTCAGATCAGCTTTAACACTGTGCGGACCTCCTAGTGAAAGGCTCCTCACGAATGACGCACAGGTTAGAGGACGTGTTCAGGCACCAAGCACTGAGAACAGCTGGCGGAAGCCGAACCGCCTTCATTGGAGACGCGCTGACAAATGTTCGAGTTTCCCTTGACAATAAATCCTGCCATGAAACAGGGAAATGAATTAGGGAGAAGGTGAACCTAGTGATTTTTTTCCACTACTAAGATACTAAGGAGCACAGGGCTGGAGACACAAGCAGCTGCCTCTTGTAAACCCCCTCCCAGCACCGCACACCATGCACACAGGGAGCAGGAGCTAAACGCTCCCCCAGGGTAAAGAGCACTGTAGTTACCGCCGTTTGTCACCAGGCGCAGGCGCGGACCCCGTTAGCTCACAGCGCTTTCAGAATGCTCAATTATCCACTCAATAGCAGCCCACCCCTGGAGCAACACAGAAAGATTTCAACATGGCGTGAGAAACTCTGCCTCTCACCGCAGACGGCAAGCTACAGCCTGTCATTGAACGGGCGGAAGGAAAGCGCTGCTGTTTTCAGGGGGACACAGCAGTAACCGTTCGTGAACTGTCTTTCACTGTATGCAGGCTGTTTCTCAAGCTCAGCAAGCAGGGGGTATGCTTGCTGCCTTAAATTCTCGCACCAGCTTGGGCTACGCCGACACCAGCGCCCTCGTCCTCGCCATCACCGCCTGGGCGCAGGAGGATGGGGAAGCGGCAGCCCCCTCACAGCCTCCTCAATGAGCTGTCCCACCCAAATCCCAGGGTGACCTGCCTCTCCAGCTCCTGTCTCCGCCTCAGGCCGCCAGCTGTCCCAGGCATCTCCCCAACCAACTGGGGTGCTGTCAAATGGTAACTATAGCTGGGGGAGGCAGTGACGATCTATGAGGCCTTCAACTCAGCAATTCCTAAGATAAAGTGAAACAAAAGACTTTTATTTGGCCCCACTGAGTTTCCCCTGAGGAGGCTCTGGCCTGAGTATTCCCTTCCTTTTATAGTTTTTTTTCTCAGCAAACATTTCGAGCACCTACCCTAAGACACACACAGGTGAGTAGGGTTCTGTCCCCCTCCAGGAGGCTCACAGTGTGGACACGATGTGTGCAGCTCTGGGCACTGCGGCTCCCCTACCTGAACCAAGCTGAGCTACCACCAGTGTTTCTCAAATCTGGATTTTTCTAAAACATAGGGCAGACTGGCTCTTCTATTAGTGACTAGACTAAATGCGAGCCCTAAGTGGTTCCCACTGAGCCATGACTTACGCATGGTAGGAATGGACATCCAGCTTAGGCAGCACCCCACTGATCCCAAACGTGAAGAATCACTTCTGACCAAAAGTAAACCAGGAGAGGAAGGAGGAGGGGAGAGCTGAGGGGAAGAGGCGAGCCTGTGAGGTAAGCTCAGGTAAAAAGCGAAGGTCCTGCTCTGGCGAGTGACATTACCTTGAACTTGTATAACAGCTTCCTTCCACACATCCAAGCTCTTTCCATCAACTCTGCTGGAGAAGAAGGCAACCTGGACTCCATGAGCAGTCTCTGCCTCACTAAGGCTGAGCCCTCTACCCAGGAACCCGGGGAGGACAGCCTCCTGGGATCCATCCTTTTTCCTCTCACCTCCACAAAGCTCACTCCCAAATCCTGCCAGAGGGAGATGCAAAGACGGCAGCTGACGCCAGGGAAACTTCATAGATGGGGAGGTTCAGCCAAAGCCACCTAATGACTATTAAGTACGAAACTACTAAAATTCCCGGATATCCTGCCTGACAATGCTAACACATTCTGAAGTGTGCGATTTGTTTTGTTAACTGAGCCCACCCTATTTTGGCTCTCTGAAGCGGCAGCTGCCTCGGCTGGGTTTATGTTCTGTGTTCACCCCACGCTTTCCCCTCAGATCTGGGCCAGCCTTCCCTGCTGAGGCTTTTGAATGTAACCGTGGAACCTGCTGTGGCATTACGAGCTCAGCTGGAGAAGGAGGGCCCCAGCACTCGGGAGGACTTATGGGACTACACATTTCACCCGCTTAAGCTGGCACTTGGCTAGAGCACACACAAGGCCCGGGACTGAGACCTATACCTTCTTTGCATTGGATGATATTGTGTTAGCCATTAAACTTTCCAGATAGCTGCCGAGGCTGAGCCCCTTCACGGTGATGACGGCTTCTTGCTGGAGCACGGTCCTACAGAAGAGCAGAAGGAAAGCGGCTGCAGAGCCCTGAGAGAGGGCAGGCTCCACCCCACCCTAACCTTGGAGTGCAACGTGCCAACGCCAGGATGCCGCCACTTACATTTCAGGGTTCTCCGGGTGGGGTGTGTACACCAACCTCTCGTTCACCGACACCAAGTTTGTGAGCGTGATCTTAAAAAAAGAAACAATGGCTTGAGGTTCTATTTCTCTTGCATTTCTTCCCAGACCATCTGCCCATATTCTTCCATCCCCAAATCAGCACTCACTGGAGCCCGAACAAAAGAAACATTTAGGCCCCGGAGGCACCACCACGTTAGGTCCCAAGGAAACTGTTGCGGCTACTCCTGGAGACTGTCACTGCCTTCTCTCCACACCTTGCCCAAACCTGAGCCAGGCCTGGCCTTCAAGGTACTTTCAAACTGCCAAACCATAAGCAGTTGTAGAAAAGGACAAAATATTCCTGGGTTAGCATCCAGGTAAATCAGCAAGAAGCTTCTTGTCCACTGGTGGCAGACGCTGGCCTTGGGACACACTGTCCGGGGCAGAACTCTCAGTCTATACAGACGGTGCGAGCAAGGCTGTGTCGATCCTGTCTCCTCCAGGGCTGCTTCCTGTCAACCAACTCACCTCTCATGAACATTTTTAATATTTTTCATTAAAACTTATTTAAAAACTGGAGCTCTAGAACAGCACTGTTGCACAGAATTTTCTGTGATAATAGAAATGCCCTATATCTGTGCCATCTATTGTGGAAGCTATTAAACGTGTGCGGCTGGTGAACACCTGAAACGTGGCTCATGTGACTGAGGAACTGGATCTTTTACTTTATTTAATCCTAATTCATTTAAACTGAAATAGCCACATGTGGCTGCTACAAAGGACAACAGAGCTCTAGGACTTTATCACTGTTTAACCCAATTTACCCTCTTAGCAAAGAGCCAATTCCAATACAGACCACATTTTTAAAGAGTCTAAGTAGTCAAAAGCAATATAACCGTCCAGCAATGATAAACTTAACGCACTTATGTTTCCTCGTGTGATAATCTCTCACCGACATCCTCCCCCCGCCTCACTGTTACAGCAAAGTGCTTGGCCAAGAAATCCTTTCCCCCTCTCGAGCACACAGTGATGAAAAGAGCCTCATTAGTTACAGTTATTACAAACACAGGGAAATATTTAACAACATTAACAACTAAATTCTGATTAGCTATTACCATTTTGTGTGCAATATTTTTATGCCAGGCACGCTATTTTATAAACCTTATTTCCCTCCATTAATCCTCATAATACTACTATAAGGTTTGTTCTTCATTTTTTTAGACAAGGAACGTGAGACTCAGAAAAGGTTAACAACTGACATACGCGAAGTCACCGGCCACTCAGTGGTAACCGCAGGATGCAGGCACTGTCTGTCCCCCTCCAAACCCCAGCCCTTCCCTCTAGACCTCACTGTAGCAGGAACCATCCCTCTTTACTGACAACTAAGTGGACGAAGGACAAAGTGGAATTTTCCAAGGAAAGGAGAGAGAACAGAATACATCAACTGTCAGGAATGGCCAGTGGGGCGACACCCAGCAGGCTCCCTGTCCCTTTATGCAGAAGCGCAGCCTGGGACGAGGGACGGGGCCGTTGGCAAAGGTCCCAGATGGTATACCAAGGACTGCAGAGATTCAGAACCCAATCTTCCAGCACACACTGACACAATCCGCAGAGACTTTATCAAATCATGGTCCTAACCCATGTGTTTCCCCCCTACATTCTTTGAGTTTGCATTAGGCCAATGTAGATTGTTTTAATTGAGAGAAATGAGAGAAGAGTGAAGGAGGAAAGTCACTTTTAAAATTATTCCTAAAAACCATCTTGGCTGTTGGAAGCCAGGAGCGCCGTTATCGTGGGGGAGGGGTACTGGAAAGGAGCACAGGGGGAGCTCCTGGGGGCTGCTTGCACTCTGTCTCCTGAGCTGCCTGCTGGTTAGGAGGTGTGTTCACTTCGTGACAAATCATCATTATGTGCATTTTTCTATAAATTTATTACACTGGAATAGAAAGAGAAATAAAATACTGCTAAATAAATTCAGCCTTTCTAGTAAAAATAAAAGATCACTTAGACCAAAGGTGGGCTGGAAATAAAATTAAATGAAGACATTACGCACCATCACCAAGAAATACCAAGGACCTGTCTCATCTTAGGCCATTGCTTACATTGGTGGAACAAAGCTCCATTTTCTTTTCCACTGGATCCACAACAGAATGTTCTTTGATGTATGTCAAAGTCCTACTGGTTCCCAAAATCTGAAAAACAAAGTAAAACTAGCATAGTGACGTGTTAAAATTTTCATTTTGTATTATCGAACACAAAATGCCATTTCATTTACTAATTAATCCACTTATCTAGTCAACAACTGATGCAACTGGGGATGCAGCAATGTACAGCCCTGTCCAGCTCCTCCAGGGCGCTCCTGTTCTAGCATGTGGGACAGACAGTAAACAAACAAATGAATGCACAGAGAGCCGAGTGTATGACCGTAATAAATGCTTCGACAAAAACCAAAACAGGGTGCGGGGCAGTTCAAGGAAGGCCACTGTGCTGGGAGGCAGAGCCAGGGAGGGGCGCCATGCAGAGTTTTGGGGTTAGGTCAACTGAGGCATGTGCCCCTGGGCCAGGGAGAGGCCAGCACCGTGGGAGAGGGAGCAGGTGAGACACTGCCAGGGCAGGCCCACCGGGGCGCTGCAGCCACGTCAGGGCCTCGACTCTGTGTTGAGGGGAATTCAGAGGTGCGTCTGGGCAGCAAAAAGTCATGCTCAGATTTTTCAATGACCTCCTGCCTGCTCTGTGGAAGAGACTTGTCATGGGCCAATGTCTCCCCAAAATTCCTATGTTGAAGCCCAACCCCAACACCTCAGAGTGTGACTGTGTGGAGACAGGGCCTTTCAGGAGGAAATTAAGTTAAAATGGGATTACCAGGGTGGGCCCTAACCCAACCTGCCTGGTGTCCTTATAAGAAGGAGAGATTAGGACACAGAGAGAGACACCAGGCACACGCAAGCATGGAGGGATGACGATGTGAAGAGGGTGGCCGTTTGGGGGCCAAGGAGAGGCTGGAACAGACGCTTCCCTCATGGCCCTCAGAGGAAACCACCCCTGCCAACGCCTTCATCTCAGACTTCCAGCCTCTCAAACTGTGAGGAAATAAGCGTCTGTTGTTTGAGGCTCCCAGTCTGTGGTATCTTGTTACAGCAGGCTGGGCACACGGATGCCAGACTGTGGAGTGATGCAGAGAGGACTCTGTGGTGGCCAGGGTGAGTGCTGAGCCGGGGGAGCGGTGCTACACATCAGATGGGTCAGGATGCATTTTGAAGCCACAGAAACGGATAATTAAATGAAGTTTACAGATAAACCATCTCTTGGGCTTCCCAGAGTTCCCAAGTGTGTACTCTAAGGGAAGGTTATCATTTCTTGCAAATGGGTGCCAGCCAGGTTGAAGCAGGGGTACCAGGGCAATGAGGGGTACCAGCAGGGGCTATGAGGGTATAGTGGGGGCCATGCGGGTACCATCAGGAGAGATGAGGGTACCATGAGGGGTGATGCGGGTGTAGCCGGGGCCATGCGGGCACCAGCAGGGGCAAGCACTTGTGGGCTCACCGCTTTCACAAGGCTGGGCAGCCCCCACTCGGTACTGAGCAGGCGGTGACTGTGAAGCCGGCCGCGGCCATCCACACTGCGCTCCAGCACATCGACTCCCACGACGCCAGGGTTCATCGGATTCGGGTACTTCCTCATAGCAGCCTTGATGACTGTGTCCCATGGGTGGCTGGTGGGAAAAATACAATCAGCCAGCATAAACAGGCGATGCCTACGATTTGTAAAGTGTGCCAGAGTAGTACGGGGGAGCCAGTGATGCTGTGTCCCACAGAGTGAAATGAAAATCAATGTTAATCCTGTTACTGAAAGGTTTTTCTTTTGGTTTTAATTAAAGGTATATTCAAACAAAATCTATCTGAGGAGTCCGAGGCAATCATAAGGCTGTGCCGGCAGGCCTGACAGAGGGGTTTGGGGCCCAGACACATCTGCTTTCCTAGCCCAGGCACCTGCGCTCAGAGGCCTCCTCCACCGCCTCGGACCTCGGCTGAGGCACTTTCCACCCTGGTTATACAGGGCGGTCTTCTCAATGAAATAATCTGTGAGCTTCGCAAGTCAACTTTCTAAAAGTTGTTCCCATAAAAATCATTAGTTTAAGCAGAGTAGGTACACTTTCTAAAATTACTTAAAACTATCTAAAAGTTGAGAAATATTTGTATTAAGCATATCAAACAATGTTTCTTTTATATAGAAACCTCCCATCTTTTTAGCTGATGATTTAAATTAAATACAACCTCCTTAAAATACTCACATAAGAAATAATTCGACACACAAGTTAATATAGACGTCAACAATGGAGGAAAAGGGTAAACGCAATAATATTTTTTAAATAACAAGATTTAAGTACTGCAAGTCAGTATCACACTCTTCTTGCTTAAAGAAAATAGCCTGGCACTCATTAGATTGGCAAAAACTGAAAAGTCGGGCAGTATTAAGCGCTGCAGAGGACGTGGGAAAACAGGAAGACATGAACTGGTGGTGACACAGAAACCGGCACAGCGCCCGAGAGAGCAGTTTACCTAGAGAATCGACAAGGCGCGACCAGCGGGTCAGTCAGGGTTGTCGGCTGCCTGGGTTAGGCAGACAAGGAACTCACTGAAGTTTATCCTCAGGAGGAGTGGCCCCCCCCACAGCTCACAGTGACCACAGCGTGAGCCCGTCCCCAGGGCGGGAGGCCTCTGTGAGCACCGCAGGGCAGGAGGCCAGGAGCACAGCGCCGGGACGTGAGGATTCATTCCGGTTCCCACACTGGAGATCGGAAAGGAATAACGAAGGTAGCTCTCCCGAAGGCGAAGATGTCAGAACGACGAAATGAGATGAAATTACATGCTGCCTGGGATTTGCCTAAAATAATCTATGGGAAGGAGCAGCGGGTGGGGACACATGAAGCCAGACTGCAAGAGGGCCACTGTCAACCTGGGAGATGGCGCTGGGTGCTCATTATTCTAGTCTCTCTACTTTTACATATTTTAAAAATGTACATAATAAGTTTTAAAAAAAAAAAAAAAAGCATGCAAGGAGGCAGCCACAGACAAGGCAAAGTGCTCCCGCACCTCAAAGCAGCTCCAGGCCCAGCGCAGCGCTTCTCAAGGTGTGGTCCGCACACGCGGGGGCTCCCGGCCCTTTTAGGAGGGCTGCGAGGCCAAAACTGCTGCAGGCCGCCAGAAGACAGATGCGCCGTTTTCACCGTGTTGACATTCACACTGATGCTGCAAAAGCCGCGGAGGGGAAACTTCTAGCCTCGCCCCACCCGTGGTCACCGTTCCCACTGTACGCTCAAAACCGTGCCTGTGTCTCTTAAAACTATCGTTACTGCAACTGTCAAACTACACCTAGATCCCGAGGGCTCTTCTGTTACTATTCGCAGCGAGGGACCAGGAAGAAGGTGGGAAGCGCTTCTGCGGGGCCTGGAGGTCCCTGGCGCTCGGGGAGGCGCTGGGCAGCGGTTGGGGCAGTGAGGCCACCCAGCGGGTTCTTTCCCCGCCCGTCTCCACTACTTGAAACAACAGCTGATGGACAAACTTTGGTTACTCAGACTTGGGTATTTGGCAGACATTTTCTCAAAACTTCATGAAGTGAGCCTATCACTTCAAGGAAAACAACTGATAGTATCGGCTGCCAAAGATAAAATTTGAGCTTTTAAGGGAAAATCAGAATTTTAAAAAGCTTGGATCTGCTACCATAAGCCTGATGAGTGCCCCATACTGGAACCTGGTGACCCCACATATTCCAAATGACCACTGCAAGATGTCACAAAACCAGACACGGCTAAAACACTCATTGCAAGCACACGACAGGCCAAGGGCTGCGGCACTACAGGCTTCAGATTTTACATGGCAACTAGTTTGAGGAAGTATCACTTGTTTTGTTGTAATAGTAGCAGAGAATTGCCACAATTATTTTAAAAGCGTACTAAAATACTTCTGCCTTTTCCACCTGCGTTTTCTTCACATACTGTGTGAGGCTGGCTCTTACTCAGGTACTTCAACCAAAACAACAGAGTGCAAGCCCTGCATGCAGAAGCAGACAGGAGCATCAGACTGGCTTCTGTTAGGCCAGACACTGTAGAACTCAGGAAAAAAAATACAACAGTGCCATTCTTCTTACTAATTCCGGGGGCTTGGGAAAATATAGATTTTCTTAATAAATTTTAATGTAATGGGTTTATTATTAACTTTAATGGATATTTTAACATTTATCAGTTTTAATTTCTCATATAGTAAATACTGGGGTCCACAATATTTTCTAAGAGTGTAAAGAGGTCCTGAGGCTGAAGAGTTTGAGAACTGCTGACCTAAGTGGGCCTTTGATTAAGTGGACCAGAAATATATACAGGGGTAGTCACTGTGGTGTGATTTGTAATGAAGGGGGAAACAATGTTCCTTTAATAAAAGAAAAGGTAAATTGTGACATATTCATTCAATGGAATGTTATATAGCTGTGATATATATGCATACGTATGTGTACACATATATACATGTGTATCTATACATACATACATATATATATACGCAGATCTCAAAAACACTGTTGAGAAGAGAGGGAAACTTTCAAAAGATCTGTACAAGATAATGCCATTGATTTCTATTTTAAAACAGCAAACACTACATATTGTTTATGGATAAACACGTACATCAACGCTGTCAAACAGACCTTTGGAACATACATCTTCAGAAGGATCCCCACCAAATTCATGATCCTGTCAGCCTATGGGGAGGGAGCAGGAGGGGAACAGCACTGGGGAGGAGAGAACAGGCATTTCAACTCTTAACTGTACTGTTCAATTTTTCCTATTTTAAAAACAGGTGTGTGTTTGGGGGAGAGGGGCAGCTCTTTTCCCTGCCCCAGCCAGATAGCAAGCCTGCAAACCCTACTTCCCTGAGAGGGACATCGCCCACTAGAGACCTTTCCTGGGAGCTGCTGGAATCCAAGGAGTGTGGCCTCGACTCCCTGCCAGAAATCGACCTTCCTGGCTCTGTTACGGAAGATTTTGTAATAGGTCTGAAACCTCAGTCAATGCTGTGAGGAGGAAACCTATAAACCTGCTCATTTTTAAACACCCTTTTCAGTATTTTTGTATTTGAGTCCTCTATTTTTCGCTACTATTTCAACTATTTTAAACCCTGTCTGGGTAACGCACACTAATTCAGATGGCCCTCCCAAAGGGCTCTCCACTTCTGTAGGAGTGTTTACACTGCTCTCCGCTATGCCTGGTCTCCAGTCCCTGGGGTTTCTTTGGGATGTGGGCACAGGAAGAAAACTTGTGAAGACCAAAAGTTTTTGTGCCTAATTACTTCTTCCCTTTCGAGAGTAAATTTATTAATTTCCAATCAAATATTCACCTGACAATAGAACAAACATAAAAAGAAAACAAGGACTGTATAGAAAGAAAAAGAAAGGTCTAGAACCCTCAAAGGAAAAGAACAAAACAGGGATTTCAATGGACTAAGCAAAGGGAAAACTCCACAATAAGCCCAGCCAGAAAGCCAGCTTTCGATTCTGTCCTGTCCTACGGATGCTGGGCCAGCACACAGTATTACGTCCTTCTCAGCCCGCCAGCCACAGGGGCTACTGCGCATCAGCCTCAGCCAGCTGCAGTCCACATCTGTCAATTTGCATTACCACCCTTTGCTTTTAAGTTCAGAAATCAATGACAGGATCAGCGCCTAGTCCACAGCAGCCTGGGGGTGGACTGAACTCCTTTGGCAGGTAGTGCCCTCATTCTGGAAGAGCATCTGGGCTCCAGGAGATTCCTCAGCCCCTCACTGAGCACCTGCCATGTGCCAGGAATACAAAGTGAGTGAGGGAAGGAATGAAGTATGGACACAGGCTATCACGTGGGTGAACCTCAAAAAAAGTATGCTAAGTGAAAGAAGCCAAGCACAGAAGACTACACATTGTATGATTACATTTATATGAAATGTCCAGAAAAGGCAAATCTACAGAAACAAAAAAAGACTAGCACTTGCCTGGGACTGGGGATGGGAGTGGAGAGTGGCTGCAAATGGGCATGACACAGTGACACTGTGAATTCACTCCCGCTTGTCAACCATCATTTCACGAACTTCCAGGGCAGTGCTTCTCAACAGTTCCACGAGGAAAATGAGCCTGGGCGTCTACTATATGCAATGACTTAACTTCTCCCCTCTGTATCTAGACAGTGCCAGTCACATCCCATCCTTGGGAGAACTGGGAAGAACCTGGAGTCACTCTGTCTGGGGCTTTCACTGGGTCTCTCAAAGAGACCCAGCTGAGAAAGGCTGCAGGCTGCACAAAAATCAACACTAACATTGGATCCCATGGAGTCTAAAGATTTCATTCAAAACAATTTCAGAGGTTTTCAATCACTTGACAAATTTTTATTATAATTTTACATTAAAAGGCCAAACAATAATTCCATTTTAAGGCACTATTTTTGTTTTTTTACCAAAAACGAAATGCTTCTCTAAGTGAGGTCAGGGAATCTAAAAATCTTTGTTCCTTTAAAAAATATTAAAGAATGATTTCAGTGTCACAGAGTAGTGACTTAAAATGAAGATATCACTTATGTCACGAGGGTACTTTTAAAGAGTTCGCTGTTTTCCACGCTAGCTTGAAGGCAGTCCATGCCCACAATGCACTCAGGGCGAAGGCCCCCCCAAATGCCTTCTCCACATTTGGCTTCCTCCTGAGCTCATGGGCCGCTGTGGACCCTTCATTCATAAAGCATGCTTAACGTCTGCGATCGGCTGCCCTGCATAATTTCAGCAAAAGACCTGGCCAGCTCTTTAGGCCTCCGCTCTCCCTAGGACCCCGCGCCCCCCGACCCAATTGAGAGCAGTGTGTAGGCGAGACCAGGCCTGCTCCTAGGTGGGCTGAGGCGTGTGCAGTCACCCTGCTGGGTTCCCTCCCCGCCGCGTCCACTCGGCCTCCATGCACTCCAGGGGCGCCCGCCAACGGCCCCACACGAGCCGCTGTGATCCATCCCGAGGCTCGGCCCTCCGCCGGCCCCAAGACAAAAGGCCGTCCCCGCCTCGCCCCCCGCCCCCGCGGCGGCGCCGCCGCCAGGCAGCAATGCACGGCTCCGCGCTCTCCACCTAACGACGCCTTGGAAGGACAGAGGGCCTGCCCCTCTTTTTAGGATGCCGAGGCCGCGATCTAGGCTCGGCCAACGCCGGGTTGGGCGGGCTCTGTGAGTGTCGGCTCTGCGGTCTGGCTTTTCCCAGGCGGCCCCCCCAGCGGCTCGGGGACAGGAGCCGGCGCGGGTCCGGACCCCACAGCAGCCCGCAGCCCGGCCTCACCCGAACACGTGCTCCGAGCTCCAGATCTTCATCGCCGCCAGCCGCCCGCCGCAGGGCGCGGGCTCCGCGCTCCCGGCTCCGCGCTCCGGGCTGCTCCACTCCCCGGGCTCGGCTCCCCGTGCGGCGGGGGCGGGGCGCTCGCAGGCACCGCCCGCCTTCCCGTCACGTGACCCGGCTGCCTGCGGCGACTAAAAATAGGGATGCGGGACAGTGTGGGAGGTCCGGAGGTCTGCGCTGGGACGCGCGCGCCTGCTGCAAATGCGTGGGGTGGGGGGCAGCGCTGAGTCTTATCGTTGGGGTTGTCCAAGTTCTCCCAAAGCCGGTTCCAACCAGGCCGGTTTCTACTGTTAGGAAGTAGAAAGGAAGAAATCTGCCAGCCCAACAAAATTCTCCACAGGAACAAAAGAGAAAGAAAACAGTTGTAGTGTTAAATAAGCATTAAAGCAGAATGTGGTGTGTGTCACAGGCAGTCCGCTTAAGAGACTGCAAAGACAGCAGATCTCACCCTTTTCTTTAGCCAGGCAGGTGCAACCCCTTACGTCCATGTTCTGGAGGGAGAGGACCCGACAGCACCATTTGTCGCACAGAGTCCATCCTAAATTCAGCTGGTAATTGGAGTGGTCATTTGTATTTGCTTATTGTCCTTATCCAAAAGAGAAATAAATTTCTTATGTCTTGACTGCTGGAGGTCGTCTGCAACTTGAAGCCAGGTGCTCCGTGGAACTTAGCCTCCTGCCCTCCCACAGAGACGGAGCGATAGGAAGGCTGCCTTCGTTGATGCTAACATTTCAAAGAGGTGGCTCCCAGGTCCTTGAGAAAAAAACATTCCCGGGTTGTAAAAACTGGCAAAAGCCCTATTTAGCTTTTAAAAATATTTGCATACATCTCAAAAAGACAGTTTTCTAGAGTAAATGGCCTAAGGAAAAGGAGAGTCTCTTTCCCTTTTGCACCAGGGAAAAATCATTTTTTTTTCTTTTTAGATTTGTTTACCTTGCACTCAAAAACGAAGTTCAAGTGCAAAGAAGCCAGATGCTCATTGTGAGGGAGGGTGACCTTCTGCAGAATAAGATGGGGCCAAGGCAGGGACCTCACCCAGCTCCCCACAGAATACCAGCACTCAGTGCTGCACCTGGCACTGAGGGGGCGGCAGGAGCCTATTTGTGCCATGAGTCAGTGAAGTGGAAAGAGCCACAGAACCAGCCAGGAGACCTGGGTTAGGATCCTGGCTCCACCTGTACTGCCATGGACCCTTTCTACCTGTGGTGGGGACTTCACAGTAGGCTTCCAGAGTTGGCACTATTATCCCTGTTTTATAAATGAGCAAACTGGAATGCAAGGAGGTGTCAAAGCTCTCTCCCCGGGTCCTACTCTGAGGGACAGAGCTGAGATGAGAACCCAGGTTTGCAAGCTTCCCCGTCACAACCGAGCTACAGCAGCTCGCAGTTAGAACCGGCCAGCAGTGCACACTTCCCATGCACTGGGCACTGAGCGAGATACTATTGCTTTGGTTTTTAAAAAGCCTCATCATTCACAATCAGCATTTTCAACAAACACGTATTGCGCATGAGACTGAAGAAATTGGGCCAAATGGTGAGAGTTAGAAGACTATGTAGGTGAGACAGTTCGTGTAACGCGCTCCAGGTCTGACAGGTACCAGCTGCTGAGGTTGATCTTCTCACCACGTGGGAAAACTAAGACCCTAACTTCTAGCGCCTTGGTACAGAGACAGCTATTCAGTGGTGGAGCTGGGGGCCGGAGAACCAGAGTGAAATGAGGACCATCTTCTGTCCCTGGAGGCTTATAGCAGTCTTACCACTACCTGCACCTGCCTGGCCTTCACATCCACTTTACGCACAGCTGTTGGCTCTCAGTCGACCTAGCTCAGGTGTCATCACTCCAAGCAGCTCCCCATTTGTGATTGCATCACAACCTACGCACACCTCTGTCCGAAACTCACCACCACGTGCTGTGATCACCTGCTCTTTTCTCTGCCTCTCCCATCAGGCTAAAAACCTTTTGTGTATGTGTGTGTGTGAGGAAGATTGTTGCTGAGCTAACATCCGTTGTCAATCTTCCTCTTTTGGCTTAAGGAAAACCGTCGCAGAGCTAACGTCTGTGCCAATCTTCCTCTATTTTATGTGGGATTCTGCCACAGCGGTGCTTGGCAAGCGGTGCTAGGTCCACACCAGGGTCGGGGAGGGGGGATCCCGGCCTGTGAACCTGGGCTGCCCAAGCGGAATGTGCGAACTTAGTGACTATAGCACCGGGCTGGGCCCAGGCTAAAAACCTTTTTCAGGACCTGTGTTATCATTATTCTTGGTATTTCAGAGTCAGAATCATAGTAGGTACACAATATCGCAATAGTTATTGAGTAAATGAATGAAAGCTACATCCCTGCTTGAAGTCCTACACTGATGTCTCCATTTTCGGTCAAAAATCCACCCTCTGGCAGCCTCACTTCCAGCGGTTCCTCCCTCTGTTACACCACCTCTGGTCTAGGAGCAGCAGCAGCTGCATCGCCTGGGAGCTTGTTAGAAATGGAGACCTTTGGCCACCTCAGCCGCACCCGCAGCATGTCTGGGGTTGGAGGGCACGCATTATGGTTTAACAAGCTCTCCCAGGGACTGCTGCTAACAGAGACCCACTGTGCTAGATTCACCAACCACCAGCCTGACTGGGCAAGGTGCTTCCTGTACATGCCACTTTGTCATCACCAGACAGTTGCTCGCATGATTTCTTCCAACCGGAATGTGCTCCTCCGTTATTGTCCTGGAAGCATCTTCCAGATAAAGAGAGCAGAATATGCAAAAGCCCAGAAGCATGAGCGGGTACAGTGCTCTTAGGGGGCTGTAAGTTACGTGTGAGGCTGGACTGCATGGTCCCAGGAGGAAGTGGCAGCTAGAAAGGCAGGCAGGAGCCATACCATGAAAGGCCTTCTATGTATTTCATCCTGAGAAATTTAGATTTTATCTCAATCTTAAGACAATGAAGTTTTTGACAGACTTTGGTGTTTGAGATTTCTGAGGCAAAACAGTCCAAACTACAAGCAAGATCCAGGACGTAGACTTGGCTGGCCACGGGGGTGAAGTGGAATGGAGATGAAGATGCTTCAGTTAGGAGCGGCCTGGCCTTCCCCAAGTCTGGGTTAGGAGTCGCCCTGGATGCGTGCTGCCTACTTGCATGGTAGCTCCTCTTGGTCTGTATCATCACAGTGTGTGTGCAAATCGGAGGGACCTACTCCAGCTGCCTCTTGTGAAGAAAGCGGGTGTTGGTGTGGGCAGGTAGAGCGGTGGTCCCAACCTTGACTGCATATTGGAATAATCTGAGGAGCTTTGGAAACTACTGAACCCACCCAGGGATTTTTATTTAATTGGACTACCGTGTGGCCTGGGTGTCAAGAGCTTTTAAAGCTCCCCAGGTGATTCTAATGTGCGGCTAAGGTTGAAAACAGTGGAAGTTGAGGAGTGAAGTTGAGGCAGAGAGACCAGCTCTGCCCTAGCACAGGGGAGAAGTGAGCACCTGGACCAGCGGAGTGGACATAAGACTTGCAAAAAAGCAAGTCCTTTATGATCAATTGGCTTTATGGGAGAAGGAAAAGAAGGGCTGCCCACCCTCCTTCCATTTTGTCCTGTCCCCTACCAACTTCTCCATCATCCCCGCTGTTTACTGAGGACCTGGCAGCTTGGCTCACAGGGTCCCTCCTCCCAGCCCCTACTGTCCCACCCTTGCCATCTCTTGCCTTAATTCACGGCGATTTCAACATCCATCTGGACAATCCACGTAAAAACCGAAGCATCTGATTCCTGGACCTTCCTTACTTCAGTTACCTTTATCCCCACTCAACTTCAGCTACCCACGCCCTGCCAAGCCTACTGCCTGGATCTTGCTTATGTTTTGAAGCTCAAACATCTCAAGCTCCAGTGTCTCACTACAGGGGACTCTCAGCCTCCCTAGCAGAATGATGACTTTGGGTGCCACTCTCTCCCATCAGTAAGTACCTCAGGGAAGGACCACCCCACTTGCTTCAGGGCTAAACTGAGGTCTCAAGGTCTGAGGGCTGGCTCAGAGGCCAGCCTGTGACTCAAGGCTGGCCAGTGAGCATGAGGGAGCCTGCTGCGAGGTTGCCAGGAGAAAGTTCCTTGCTCCAAACAGCAAGTCATCAAAACCCATCCCTTCCATTGTTTAGCTCCTGGAACTGATGCAGCCACCTTGCCACCAGCACGAGGATGAAATCAGTACCAAGAATGGAAGTGTAAAGAAGTGGTCCTTACAAATGGATAAAGAAGATGTGGTATATATACACAATGGAATACTAGTCAGCCCTAAAAAAAGATGAAATCCTGCCATTTGTGACAACTTGGATGGACCTTGAGGGTGTTATGCTAAGCGAAATAAGTCAGAAGGAGAAAGTCAAATACCGTATGATCTCACTCATAAGTAGAAGATAAAAACAAGAACAATCACATAGAGACAGAGATTTGTTTGGTGGTTACTGGAGGGGAAGGGGCGAGGGAGGTGGGCGAAAGGGGTGATTAGGCACGCGTGTGTGGTGACGGACAGTAATTAGTCTTTGGGTGGTGACCATGATGTAATCAACTAGAAGTTGAAATATAATGATGTACACCTGAAATTTATATAATGTTATAAACCAGTTACCTCAATTAGAAAGAATATTCATACATCTGTTTTAAGAATAAATAAAAGTGGTAATTAAGAGCTGAAAAAAACAAGAAATGGTCCTTAAAGACATTATTGAACTTCTTCTCTGCCAGCCTGAAACCTTCCTTAGCTGGAACTTGCAGCTATGTCATAATAAATGCCCTTATTGTTTCATGCCATTTGAATTTACATTTTAGCCCCTAACTGATACACCCACCCTCTGAGCCCAGCCTCCAGTCTGTCCTGGGTTTACCACTGCCCTCAGATGACACTGCTCTTCAACCTCATAGCCATCTGCGGCGCCAGGAACACCGTTCCTTCCCATTCCACCAGCCCCTCCTGACTTTTCAGCCTTCTCCACTCATCCTAGACAACAGAGCACAGAGAACTGACCCTCAGTTCTCTCCCCTCCGTGCTGGACGATTGCTGCCATCTGCTTCTCTGGTCAGAGCCTGAAGGACTCTGTGCTACTAGAGAGAAGTCACAGTCTTACA